TATTATTTAATTAATGTGTTTTACAGAAAAATTACTTTTTATATAAGTAATGACAAGACAGACATACGAAGTCTCAAAACAAACAACTCCATCTTTTTTTTTTTGTTTCCAACGTTCTTTATATTATTTTATTTCTATGTACACTCGGTTCCAATTCTCAACATCCTCCCCCGCGTTGAAGTGAAAACTTCAAAAAGAAAAACAAAACAATAAATATAAATAAAATATGTTTATTATTTAACATTCTTGAGGAAGAGGACACAATTTTGAAAGAGGGCGCGTAATTATACCTTCATTTGTTTTAAGTTTTACGACCCTAACCTTTTTCATCAATCCAAAGGTTTAATGAAGCGATAGTGTTTTTAGAAATAGGTTTGTTAACTTTGAGTTGTTCAAATTCATCTTCAAAATGAGTTTTTTGAATAACCCTAATTATTACTATAAGAGAAAGTTGCAATTCCTCAATCGTGAGTGATCCGTAATTTTTAATTGAATTTTTCTTTGAATTATTAGCAAATCTAAAACAATAAGCAATAGTTCGCTGTAACCGTGAAAAATTTGAAAAGTTTGAAAATATTGCATCATTCATTACCGGGGTAGTTAACATAGTAATTTTTCTTAGTTCAGGGATTTCATCTATATTGAATATTAGCAAATTTTCTTCGTTATGCCCTTTTAATTTAAAGAAAAAATCATGTAAGTACTGAGGGCCATGCCACCAAATATCATTATGTTTTATTTCATTCGGAATTAATCCTCGAGATAATAAATCAGCAGGGTTCTCTTTTGATTTAACATGATTCCAATGATATTTAGAAGTTAAGTTTTGTACTTCTGCGACTCTATTAGCGACAAAAATAGTCCATCGTGATGGATGTGATTTTAACCAACATAAAGTTATTTGCGAATCAGTCCATAAGTGAACACTGTTAACTTTAAATGAAAATACAGACATTAATTTGTTTACTAATTTTGAAAGAAGTACTACTCCACATAGTTCCAATCTGGGTAGAGAAACGGTTTTTAAAGGGGCAACTCGAGACTTAGAACATATTAAGTTGCAAGAAACAGTTTCATCAATATATAATGCACGTAAATACACACACGCACCGAAAGCCTTCAAAGAAGCATCTGCATAACCATGTATCTGTATTTCTAATATTTTCTTTGTCGCAAATATATGACGCGGAATTTCTATATTTGACAAATGATGTGTATTACAGATAAAAGTATTCCATTCATTTAGTAATTCCGTAGAAAGTTTTTCGTCCCAATCCAACTTACGAATCCATATTTTTTGCATAATGAGTTTTGCAATGACTATCACTGGTCCAATAAATCCGAGAGGATCAAATAATTGAGCAATTTGTGATAGCACATTTCTTTTTGTGGGTGATAACTCATCATTTAATAATGGCACGCTAATTTTAAAATTATCCGAATTTGGATTCCATGATAGACCGAGAACTTTATTTGAGACATTATCGGCTTTGATATCAAATATATTAGATTGATTTGTTTCACAAAACGTATTCAAGAATTCCTGTGAATTCGAACACCATTTGTGCAATTTAAATTTTGCTAATTGTAACATTTCTAGAAGTTCATTTTTAACTTTTACCAATGTTTCAAAATCATTGGCACCGAATAATATGTCGTCTACATAACATTGTGTGAGTATCATTTGTGAAGCGAGTGGAAAATGAACCCTATGTTGATTTGCTAATTCGACTAAGCATCTAGTTGCTAAGTACGGAGCCGAATTAGTACCGTAAGTTACGGTTTGTAACTCTATACATTTTAATTCTTCATTGGGATGATCTCTCCATAATATATTTTGTAAAAATAATTGAGATGGATTAATTTTTATTTGTCGGTACATTTTCTCTATGTCCGTTATTGCTACAAACTCAAACGTTCTGAATCTACATAAAATGTCAAATAGTTCGGGTTGAACTGTGAAACCTTTCAACATAATATCATTTAAAGAATAACCAGTTCTTAAAGTTTTCATTGAAGCATCAAATACTACTCTGAGTTTAGTAGTGACCGATGTTTCTCTGATTACACAATGGTGAGGTAAGAAATTTTTATTTTTTATCTCTAACGGTACATATTTACCGTGATTTAAAGAAATATATTCATCTATAAATGCTTTATATTGAGAGAACAATCCTTTATCTCTTTCAAATCTTTTTTCTAACAAAAAAAATCTTTTGCTAGCAGGAGGTTTGCATTAGTAAAATTTTGTTTGATAGGGTATTTTGCATTAGTTAGTAGTAATTAGTAATGTGAGTGCTTCATACGCATAACAGTTTTTTTTGACTTGATCTTTTGTAGTAGTTGTAGAATCACTAAATTCACAGTCCATTTGCTTACAATTTTTTGGTCACCTAATTTTAAATATTTATTTGAATTGCGAAGTTGCAGATTTACTTGAAATGAGCCATCTACTAAATGCTTAGCTGTGCTTTTAAATATTTCTTCACATTTTTCATCTTCTGGAGATAAAATACGCTTACTTTCAATTTCCTCCTGTTGCCAGAATTTTGGTAGGAGGTCATTTAAATTACAAATATGTGAGCACAAAGAAACACTGGTATTTGTATAATAATTATTTAATACCGGACCTGCAATAACCCAACCAAAATGAGTATTTTGCAAAGTAGGCATTTTACTTCCTAAGTGAATTATACCTGGGAGAATAATGTCATAATAAACATCCGAACCTAATAGTAAATCTATTTTCGATGTAATATTAAATGTGGAGTCTGCTAAGTTAATATTTTCAGGAATCGGTAAATTATTTTTGTCAATAGTGAATTGAGGTAATGAGCAAGTAACTTTTGGTAATATTGCACATGAAACGTTAAAGCTTTTATTTATTTCTATTTTAGAATGAATATCAATATCTACCATGTGTTTTAAAAATACCTGTGTATTGGAAACACCTGAAATGTGAATATTTGTTTTATACGGGGTGTAGTTTAGTTTGTTAACTAAATCTTGCGATATAAATGAGGTTTGGCTTCCACTATCTAAGAGAGCTTTTGCTTGTATAGGTGTTCCGTCTGTTGATATAACTGTTACATTAGCTGTTGCTAATAGCACCTGTATTCCTCTTGTATAGAGACTCGAGTGAGTAGTGACGGATGAAATTTGCGAAACTTCTTGAGAATTATTATTTGAATTAACGTTAGGGGCTAAATTTTGATTTACTAAATTTGTCCCACTTGATTGAGCGACATTTTTTGACGATTTTGAGTTATCATTAGGGTGTAAAAGAGAATGATGGTCACCTTGGCAAATTGCACATTTTCGAGATGTACAATTTTCTAGGGAATGCCTTGAACCAAAACAGTTTAAGCAAAGTTTATTTGTTTGAATAAACTGATGCCTTTTGTGACAAGGAAGCGCTTTGAATTTGAAACATCTATAAATATTATGATTTGTCAATTTACAAAAGTGACATTTAAATTTGTTATTTGTGTCTGATGAAGTATTTGCTATGTGAGAAGCCGTTTTCTTTGTGTCCGATGAAGATAAATTTTCAAAAGCTATACATCGTTTTTCAAGGAAAGTGAAAAATTCTTTAAGTGTGGGAAGTTCTGTTGAACTTTTTTCTAATTCGTATGCTTTGCGTGTGTCAAAATCTAGTTTTTGACTAAAGCTATAGATAAGTAATAGATCCCACTCCTTTGTATTGACTTTTAATGCTTCTAATGAATTTAAATGTTGATTTATATGAATTAAAAATTGTCTCAAATTATAAGCTGTACATTTATTTATGGGGGGAATATCTAATATATTTTTAATGTGCTTATTTATTATTATTAGTTTATTATCATACCTCTCATTTAATATGCCTAATGCTCTTTCATAGTTTTCGTTAATTAGTTCTAGTTTATTTATTAAATTTAATGGTTCAGCTTGTAAAGTGGATTTCAAATATACAAACTTCTGTACATCTGTTAATTGAGAGTTGCTATGAATTAGTGACGTAAATAAATCTATAAATGATTTCCATTCTTCATATTTTCCTGAAAATGAAGGCAAATTTACGTTTGGTAATTTTACTTGACCGGTACTCATATTTGAGTTTTGTTGCAGAGGGGGGTTCCGAGAATTGGAAAGACTTATGTCGGGCACCACACTCGACTGAATTTTTGTTTTTATAGCGGCATGGATAGTAAAAAATTTATTTTCTGTGTCAATTCTATCCTGCTCTTGAGACTCATCGATCTCCTCTATCTTGTCTTGTACATCAGAATATTTTTCAAAAGCTTTAATTAATGCAGTTTCTCATATAACATATTCGCTAACATCGATATTTTGATTTTTATTCTTATTTAAAAATGTTTCAATTCTAGTGATAGTGCCTTTCATAGTACCTCTTTGTTTAATTAAAGCTTCCATATTTAGTATTTGGACTAACTAAAAGTATTTAACAATTTAACAAAATGACAGCTAAATGACAGTAATTAAATTGAAATTATATTTCAAAGGGAGCGTCTATACTTCTCTAATCTAGGGGAGCGTCTGACCTTGAATCTGAAATTATTGCACCTGCGAATTCTACACTATGGGCAGCGTGAATATGCGAGAAGTGCGGGAGCCTCGGGATTCCTGGATTCAATTGTGAGAAAAGTGCGGGAGCCTCGGGATTCTTGCATTCGAATAATTTCTCTACTATATGGAAAAATTACAATACAAATGTGCATAAATACACATATTACCTATGCACACTCTGAAACTCGACATACATACACGTTATCACATCTTAATTCTACAAGTGAAAAAGAATCGTTTTAAGGTGTTCTGTATAAATTATTTGTTATTAAAAATATGAGTACAATGTTACTATGAACGAGTGGCATAAAAGTACATTCACGATTTAAATTAAAAAGAGTATTGGCATTTTACTGATAGATGGCGCCACTTACATCTTGCCAACATGGTCGCATCTTATATTATTAACCCTCGTCGTTTAGACTACTTATTTACTCTGGTTTCACCTCACATCCAATAAATCTTTCGCCTTTTACTAAAGATTTCCGTGGGGTGGAGCACTCAAATGAGTGTATAAATAATTTTTTTGTGCCCGGTGGAAACTGGGCCTGCAATTTTAAATAAACAGAAGTCCATCGTAAACGTGTACCTTGTCCTTAATAAATAGCTAATGCCTTTATTAGTATAAAGTCTAAAATGCGGTAATGTACAGAATGTACTTTGACTTTTGTAACTTTGTACACTGACGCTTTGACAACCTTTGCTATTTTGAGATTGTGTATAGTTTATACATACAGGGTGTCTCACGGTCCATTAGAATTATTTCAGAGACTACTTCGATTTGAATTTAGAAAATTTGGGATACCGGGTTTTCGGACATGCCCTTCTCAACTAAAATAATGGCGTCCACG